CCCGGGGGGGGGGGGGGGGGGGGGGGGTCTGGCAGCCCCCGGGAGTGACCCCGTCCCTCCCTCTGTGCCAGCTGGAAACTGTGTCCTGGGAAGGCCCAGGGAGTGATTTTGGGCAGCCCCGCTGGCACAGGGTGTGGCAGCAGCGGGTACTCACGGGTTGGGGCACTGCCAGTCTCCGGCGCGGTGCTGCACGCTCCCTCCAGACGGGTTTCCCCGGGATCCCCGCGGTCCTCGGGAGGAGAAGCCGCCCCTGTCTCCGCCTCTTCCCCCCATCCGTCCCATGGGGCCGCTGGGCCCGCTGGGGCCCCCTGGGCCACCGGGTCCCCCTGGACCTGCGGGAAGGAGCCCCATTAGTGCTGGGAGCCACGGCAGGGACGGGGAGCAGCTCTGGGGGGGCTGCACGGTACCTCCACGGAGGGGTGGGGGCATTCCCCGCTGCTCCCGGGGGGGTATCCCGCCCCTCAGGCTGTTCATCGGGCCCTTCTTCCGTGCCAGGGTCACCTTCAGCTTGCTCCCCTGGAAATCCTTCCCTGGGAGGGACACAATGGGCAGGAGCATCGGTGAATCACGGCCCTGCTGCACACAGGTGCTTCCCACACCTGGAAGTTTTGGAATTCCACCCCAAAACGACCCCCAGCACTCACCATCAAACCACTCCACGGCTGTTTTGGCAGTGGACGGGTCATCGTAGGACACGGTGGCATCGCCCTTGGGCTTGCCCGTTTCCTTGTCGATGTAGAGGTTTATCATGGGCTGCCCCGTCCTCTTGTTCATCTAAGGGACAGCACAACGTCACCCGAGTCCTGTCTTCCCACTGCCCAACGGGGATTTGCTCTGCTCTGCTTTCCAGCAGCAGCTCATTCCAGGGACTCCAGGACAGAAGAAAGGGGCCCCAGGCCTACCATGGATGACAGGGACTGCCCACACACCCCAAAAACGAAGGGACGGGCCCCAAACAGCACTGCCAGGCCTCTCCCAGGGCCTGGACAGGACGGGCCTGAAGGATGTGAGCAATGGGCAGGGAGATGGAGAAGGAAGAGGAGGAGGTGAGGGACCCTGTTCCCTCTGCCAGCGGGGGGTCACTGGTGTCCCCTCACCTTGACAACACCGCACTGTTTGAAGAAATCTGCCAGATCCTCCAGGGTCACATTGTCATTGAGTCCCTGCACATAGACTGCAGTGCTGTCCGAGTCCTCCTCTGGGTCCATAGGGGGGCCTAGGAGAAAATTCCTGGGGTCAGTACAGGCAGAGGAAGGGCAGGAATGCCCCAGGGCCGAGTTCCTTCCATCCCCTCCATGGCTGCAGCTTCGCTCTCTGGGAGTGACAGGAACCCCCAGGCCCATGGGAGGTGACTGTCCCCAACCTCACCTCCCCGGTGCCACGGCCAGACAGAGCCCACACCCACCCACGTGGGAAGAACCCCCAGGTTATTCCAGGACACGTCCCAGAGGAGAGATGAAGAAGACCTTTGTGCCCCCTGGGCTCCCACACAAGGACATCCACCCCCCTTTTCCGACGCTGGAAGGCTGACGCAGAACTTCCAGACACGCCTGGGACAGGAAGGGACGAGCCACGGACGAGGCTCTGGGGGTGCTGCAGGCCCCCTGGAAGAGCTCCAGAGCAGCCCCCAACCCCCCTAATTCCTGCAGAGAAGGGGGAGCATCTCCCAACCACGTGTGGTTGTTGCCAGCTGTTTGGGAATGAAGAACCGATGGGAACAGCCAGAGAGCCTGAAGTGGCGGTGGGGTGACACACAGCAGCCCTTGCAGCAAGGACACAAAGGTCTGTCTGACAGCCTCAGGAGGGAGTTTGGTGGGAATTACCTAAATCCAGGTCGGGTCCTTCCTCCATGTGTCCTGCCAGGCGGGAGAGAAGCATAGGGAAGGGTGTTAGTGGGGGCCCTGTGGGCTGGAGAACCGACACACACAACACTAGCTACGACCTGCGCCGCACAAGCAGCAGCACTGCACCTTACTGGGCCATCAGGTGGCTCTTTTAGCATTTCTTCCAACCAAAAAACACTATTACACTGGTTTTAAGCATTTTTTTTCCAACCAATAACCACTATTACACTGATTCTTTTTAGCAGTTTTCAAACCGTTAACCACTATTACACTGATTTTTTTTTTAGCAGGTTTCAAACTGTTAACCACTATTAACGCTGATTTTTTTAAAAGGTTTTACCAAGCCAATCGGTTTTTAAGTTCATTAATAAAAGTTACTTAATATATCTATATATATTTAAAAAAAAAAAAAAAAAAAAAAAAAAAAGATTTATTACATCCAAACCATTTCTTTGCCCCAAAATTACAGGAGTGGTTGCTCAACTCTTCCACTGTGTCCGCACACCCCTGGGCATCGCCGGCAGTACCCATTACAGTCTGGTTGCATATTGTCATTTTTTTAAACCACTTAAATGAATAAAAAAATTACACTTTGTGCTAAAAAAAAACTGACTGCAATTTTTTTTTTTTTTTTTTTTTTTTTTTTAACACTATCCATTGTAATGCTCAAAAACTTACCACCAGGCTTATTGAAGCCACCTCGCTCTCCAGCGCTGCTGGGGGGATAAACGAAGAAATGAAGGCCTTTCCCTTTACAAAGCCAGCACCGCTCTGAGCCTCTGCGGCTCACAGGGGAGAAGGGCACTGGCTAAACATCTCCAAACATCTCTCTGTCTCTCTCTCATCTCGGCACTAGGCCTTTCTTCAGGGCAGCTCGCTCAAATTTTCTTTACATATAAAGCAACCTTGGTGTGGTTTGAGGCACCGCTTTGCTGTCGGTGCCCTGGCGTTACTCGGGTATCATCAGTGCAATACTTGGCCGAGAAATGGGGGTTGTTTGT